CATACACAACACACTTTCTTGTGCCTGGGCTGGGGTGATTGACAGCTTTGCTAACCAAACACCAACACTGTCTCCGGGAACACCCTGCTTGTCAGAGAGCTGAGCGCTATTTGACATTATTACAATTCAGTGTTGACAGTTGAACAACCGAGGAGAACTTTGCCTGTGAAATTAATTAGCTAATGTAGAAATAATAAAGTGGACTGGCCAAGAATGGAAGAATCAATCTGTGAGCTATTCTAGTTTACAGCAAAACCATTGCACCAGGTATCCCAATGCAGGGGGGCAGACTGAGGGAACACCCTAAACAATCCTCACTCCCTTGGCTAATACTCCTTCCTGGGTAAATGCATGGTGGGGTAGCTTAGGATACAGGTTGGCAAACTGCGGCCCTCCAGCTGTTGTGGAATTACAAATCCAATGAGGCAGGGTCGCCATTAGAAATCATGGGGCCTCGTACAGCCCACCTCACAGGGTCCCCCGTGCGTTAATCAGCAGTTTCGTGCAATTAACGCACTCTACCACGCAACACACCTAACATGCAATACAATGCGACAGGTGTGTTGCACTGCCATTCATTTGAATGGCACCCCAAACCCCCCTCCCTGCCACAATGAATCTGACCGCACCGCAACACATGGTAGCGCAATATTGCTGCCTTGGGGAGATTGTTATTGCTGCAGGGGGAGGTAATGGTTTTTGCTGCGTAGGGAGGAAATAATATTAATAATTAAGAGTCATTAAAAAAATAACCTGCAGGCAACATTAACAACCCCCCCTCCCCCGCAGCAATAATACTTTATTATACACCTATCAATTATCGCTCGGAAATCGTCCACGAATGGTCTTTCGAACGATAATCGATCATTTGATGGGAACCCAACGATTGTTTTTACTGTACTCCTGGGCAAATTTTCTCGAAGTGTGAGGCTGGAAAACCTTTAGATTAGTGGCATTTTCGTACGAAAAAAACACAACATGAACACTGCACATGTGCAAATGAAAATTAGTTCTGTCGATCAACGAAATTCGGTGAGTTAGTATTAAAAGACCATTCGTGGATGATTTCCGAACGATAATCGATAGGAGTATGGGCACCTTTAGACTTTGACAAGTGGCTTGATGGCAATGGGGACAGGTAAGTATAAGACATGAGGTGGAGGGGGGTGGAATGGGGACTGGACACAGTACAAATGTGCAGTTACACTTAGAGGTCTATTTATAAAGCAGTAAATGTGACTTATCAAACATTCTCCGGAAGAGAAACATTCTCCGGAAGAGAATCAATCGCAGTCTTTGAAAATGCATCCACCTGGAATATTCACCTGCAGAGATCGTTTACTGAATGTCAAATTCGATGCTTTATAGATATGCCTCTTAAAGTACCCTATGACCGGTTCAATGGTGTCATTGGAGCCTTTGAATGTCATAACACTATTGTCATTCAGGGATGTAGACTGCCATAGCCAGGACTACCCTGGCATAGGATAAGGCTCCTGAACCATCAAGGCTACCTGGTAATGTATTTCTACAGTACAACATTGTGAACAAGGAGCTGGAAATATGCACCCATGAGCCAAACAACTCTGGTTTTCCGGGACCATTTCTGCACTGTTCAAGCAGCTCTTTTACCACAAAGATCCCCATGCATCACTGCTGCCGCTACTTGTACCTACAAAATGTATAAAAATGTTTATATTGATATTAAAATGTGCAAAATGTATAAATCATTTATGTCTGCTTACAAAATGGCTGCCTGATAAGATGACCAAGCATTCCCCTTTAATATAAAAGACCAAAAGCCTGCACGAACACCATAGCTGGTGCTTTACTATCTGATGATTCAGTATGATTTTAATGTAAGGAAAGGGCATCTCCTCTGATAAACGACACTCCCAAATCCCAATCCCCAGCCAAATTGGCAACCCTTCTTTATCATTTTGCAGGAGAGTGACAGGTACACTTTAATTAGAACAATAGTTTCTTTTACAGCCATAGGAATTACTATTATTATTATTATTTTGATAATTTATTAAATTTCAGGTATGATTCTATAAGAGATATAAATCATGAAGAACAAAGCACAATCGTAAGTCAGTGAGAATCATTTGGAAGCCATTAACCATATGAATTAAACTGAAGTCCTCATTAAGTATTGATTACCCCAGAAGGAAATTGGTACACTCTGGGATTAAGCATGCACAGCTTGATGGTAGTTAAAAAAGGTTAGTCAAAGCATTTGCGCTCTGCAACCTTTAACATCCAAGAGAGAGCCTTATATTTAATACTAAGTAGATTGTTTCCACATCTTATCATTAACCTCTGCATCATCTCAACTGATTGTCGGGTTTTTTTAAGGATCGCTCATCAAATACGTAATAAGGAAGTAACTTCAATGCATAAAGCTTCATTAAAATAAAGCAGACCTGTAAATGTCTTCTGAGAGATTAACCATCTCAATTAGTTACTTATCACAGGTAACTTCAATGCATACAGCTTCATAAAAATAAAGCACAGTTCACCAGTAAATGTCTTTTGAGAGATTAATACCATCCCAATCAATTCAATCTCAAAATTAGTGAAATGCTGTTAACCAGGCACACCCAATACACAGCATTTCAATTCCTGGCTTTCAGATCAGTGGAAGGAAAGATGAATTCTGACTGGTTATCATGGGTATCTGTGCATTGCTCAATACACTTTGCCTTATGGAATCAATCTTTTCTTCTTCCTCTGCTCACCAAGAGCAGCTCATCCTCCCCTCCATCCGCTGCCATTACATCCATCAATGTAATATCTAGAATTGTTCATGTTCTCATTCCTCAGCAGCTGCTCATAAAGGCTTTCAGTTATTAATTACTTTTTTTTATCAGGTCACAAAGTCTCTAAATATTAGCCTTCAGCTGTCACCTTTGACCCCGAGTGCTTTCTGACATTCCAAGCTGGGAATATCCTAGATCTATAAAGCTGAAGAACGCACCATCTTCTCTCAAGGTGACCACATCTCCATTTTAATGGTGTGCAGCAACCACTGAGACATATTATTGTGTAGCCCTATTTCTATGTCTTAAAAAAAAAATTCTGTGCATTCTGATTTCTAAACAGAGGCAATAAGTCCTGTCATATATTGCCACCCTGTGATCCATGACCATCTTTTTTCGAGTAGGATTACCACATGGTATTTTTGACACTGGTGAAAAAAAAGTGCACACATAGGCCCACAAGCAATCTGTTGGTTGGTGCTGTGGCAGCTCCAAACCTGCTGCAACTTTCTACCTTTAATATCTCATTGATTTGTGTACAGTGGCATTGAGATCTGTATATGTTCATTCTTACAGAGCACCCTGCAACCAGTGATGGTTGTCTTTAAATTCCTGCACCACCTTTCACTAGCCACGCTCAGATCTAATCAATGGCAGTAAGTATATATTTTCAAGTCGGCTAAAAAACATGCCTCCCTTTGCTGCAAGAGAAACCAGCCTTGGGGCTCATCCGTGTGTGCAATAAGCTTCTCCACCAGCAAGAATCCGAGTCAGAGAATATTCAGCCCCATGCACTACTTGAGTGTGAATAGCCATGACCCACAACCGCGTGGCCAGGTTTGTACTCTGTACAAATAAATGGGCGGTGCTGCTTCTGTTTGCGAGTAACTCAAATGGTTACATGCGATTAGGGCCCTTGACTGGCCCTGGACGCCAACAGTTTTCATCCAGGGCCAGTTTTCTCTGGTTGCATAGAACCCGGATGCACCTAATCGCCCCAATTTGTATTCGGCCACAGCAGAAGCTCTCTATCGGATCTGCTGGTGATTTGCTGCATCTAGATGCGACAGCTTAATCGCGCCCATGTGAACACGCTGTTATGATCTCTTTCCTATAATAACAGCAACAAGTTCCACTTTTACCACCCAAGCCAGTAAAAACCCTAAAGAATTATCTTTTCTTTATGTTTGGGGATTAAAGATGCAAACTGAAAACGGGGCAAATCCAGCAAAGATGATTTTATGTCTGGGGTGCCTTACGTTTTTTTATTTTTAATGGAAAATCTTAGGAATGACATACTGAATAGAAGAATATGTAAGATTTCAGCACGTCTGATCTGACATGGTGAGACAGACAGTGTGCTATATTCTGCCAGCTTCTATAAACATATACCACCCTTGACTAACATCATTTCACATCCTCCTCTACAGATAAGAGTGTGAGGCCGTCTGTGTGTGTCTCTCGCACATATCCCCGGAGTCATTAAGGGTGTGTCCAACTGAAGCAAACCTTACATTACTCCATAGGGTGCCTGCAACCTGCTATGTTATAAAAATCTATTTGTCTATACAATAGATAAGGCATACAGGATACATTGACTCCCTCCATGCAGCGTCCCTGAAATCAGTTTAAGGTGGAGACCTGTCGTATGCATATCTTCTGCCACAAGCATAAGGCCTCTGCCAAGCAAACAAAGTATTTATTGCTGAGGTCACCTATTAATCAGTGAGGGGGTCCAATTTTGCCATTTTTTTCCTCATTTTTCTTTCCCTGTGGACAACCATCATGCAATAATATCAAGGTTCCAGAATAAAACCCACAAATCCTACGTTATAAGAACAGCTTTCAAAAAATTACATATTTAATCATATTGTTGTTGAGCGCTAGAAAAGAGTAATCTGTCAGGGGGGGTTACACTTCTGCATCAGTGTAGGAGGGGTTAATAAAAACCTCACCTGAACCCCCCTTCCACACTTATAAATGGGGTTGGGGCTCTCCAAGAAGATGAGGTATTTCCACTGATGGGGAGGGGAAAGGGGGTGCTGGAATGGTGATGGTGGATCCTGCAGACAGAGGACCTGCTGACATTGAGGTATGACGGAAGACTGCTGGGAAGATGCCGGACTATTTCCGATACAGTAAATATATTAATAATAAAAACAGATATTTGATGTAAAAGAAACAAATGGTCATTAAACATTGCAAACCTTGGGATCGTTTGACATGATGAACACTTACCGCTCTGTTCTCCTAGAAAGACCAGCTTGAATTTCCTCAGTGGGTTTCCAAAATCTCCCCCTGCAGACATGATGCTCGGGGAAGGACCAGGAGACAGGACCAGGGAAAAGAGCAGCCAAATTCCCTCTCTGTGCAAGCCGGTCTCCTCCGGACTTGGTCCTGTGCGTGTGCTGTGGATGGAGGATGCTTAATGCAAGCTGGAGTAGAAGGAGGAGTGTGGGGTTAACTGGGTGGTGTCTGCAGTGAGACAGGAATAGGTTAATTTCTTCCCTAGGAGAGGCAGAGCAGCCACTACAGTAGGTGAATAAGGATGCGTTAGGCTGCTCGGCTCCACATCTCTCCCCTCCCCACCCATGCACAATACGCCTGCGTGCTCCTTCTCCCCCCTTTGCACTCACATACTGCTGCTCAAGCTATGCTGATGTCAATGCACAAGCTGATTCAGAGACTGAATGAGCAAAGAAACACAGACAAGCAGGAGAATTGGCTGTAGAAACACCTGCACTGTCATGCAGCATTCCTTTCTATTCATCTATATAGAGCTGACATATGCAGCAGCACCCTAGTGTTCCTGGATCTGATCATATCAGTGCCTGCCGCTGTCTATTGTCTCTATCATTGTCATGCAATCATACATAGAATCTATAGCAAATAAAACAATCGCTATATATTTTACTGGATGGCTTAAAGGAAGCTGAATAAAACAAAGAAGACATTTAGACGCCAGTGACATAAGATACACTGCTGACCACAATGGCCAAAGATCAATGCATAGTAGATAGAGCAGCTGATAGCAAGCAGAAGAAATGTTAATTGAGATAAACTGAAATGCAATTACTAAAACCGGAGCAGACAGAATCTGGAGCAGCTGTGCACAGTAACCAATCAGCTTCTCTCTTCAGTTTGTTCAGTTCATCTTTGAAAATGAAAGAGAGAAGCGGATTGGTTACTGTGCATAGCCGCTCTAGATTTGATCTGCTTCAGTCTTGGTAGATTCCCCTCAATGACTATTGGAAACTTCAATCCAATATTATTATTTTATTTTTTTAGTGGCTATTTATACTCAATAATAAAAATAACAATAATAATAATATTGGATTGAATTTCCTCACAATGGAATCACACAATTTTTTAATAAGCATTTTGCAAATGAGATATTTTAGGTTCTAAACACTTACCTTCATGCACATTAAAACCATTACTTCCTTTCCTGTGCTCTGACGCTCCAGCCGTGAGTGCAGGTTCAAAATCCAACACAAGACTTGGCCGCTAATACTACATAATCCAGTGACCATTGCGCATCAGCACAAGAGAGCCGTTATAAATGTACGCATTAAGGGCCTGATCACATCATAGCGCTGTGCGATTTACACAATACAGTACGTCCAACGCAGCACACCTAGTGTGCGGCACCATGTACTAGGTGTGTTGCATTACCTTTCATTTAAATGGCACCCCAAGGCACCTCCACGTGGTCAGCACAGTGCAGCACAATGCACACTACCATAATACCGTGCGTTGCAGTGCAGCACAATGCACACTACCATAATACCGTGTGTTACAGTGCAGAGCAATGCACACTACCATAATACTGTGCGTTGCAGTGCAGCACAATGCACACTACCATAATACTGTCGGTTGCAGTGCGGTGAAAGAAGTAGTGCATGCGTGGCTGCTGAGAAGTGCGTTGAGGTGCCATTCCAATCAATAACAATGCAACACACCGAGCACACGATAGATGCGCTGTGCAACAGCCTATGTTAAATGCGTGATATTGCATGATTAATGAAATGCTATGGTGTGAACAAGCCCTTAGAAAGAGACTGCACATAGAAACCCCTTGCTATGAAATGAGAGAGTAATACTGGTCACATGTGCGTCAGCACGCTGAATTGTAGGATGGAGTAGGGGAAAACACCCCCATGTGACAACCATGTCCCTGTTAAAGAGCTGGTGTCACTGTTAAAGAGCTGGTGTCACCAGAGGGCAATAAGTGTGAATGGCCATTACTATTCAGCACTAATTTGAGCTTAGCAGACTACATCGATGAAGGGACGTGGAAAGACAGCAAAGACGGTGAGATAGGCAGCACTTTGCAAGGATGAAAAAAATTGGTTCACATACGCTTTCCGCTAGTAATGGTAAGTCACTCTGCTGCCCATTTAAAGGCTAAGTCCACCTTTCAGACCATGTTTCATGTTACACCTATATTTAGATTGTAACATGAAACATGGTTAGATTGCAAAACAGCCCAAACCCCCTCCTGGCCCCCGATAGGGTTGCCACCTGTCCAGGATTCACCCGGACAGTCCGGGTTTAAATGCTGTGTCCGGGTTTCATGGCAGCAGAAACCCGGACACAAGATGTCAGGCAGACAGGGGCAACCAAAATTAAGATAGAGGCTACTGGGCCCCCCACTGAAAATATTCTTAACTGTGATATTTACATATGAATGGGTGGTTCTTTTACATATAAATAAGCCGCGACTCAATCTCCCCCCAAAATGTCAGCGCATCGCTAGAGTGTTCGGGTTTCGCTTAAAGAAAAGGTGGCAACCCTAGCCCCCGACTTACCTGAATCGCAGGGTTCTTCTCCTCGCAGGCTGGTGTTCATTTTTCATTTGTCATGGCTGTGCGTGCCTCTGCCCACACATAGAGGAGATAGTCACCCGCACACCAAGGTCCAATGCATCAATACATCTTTTTATTGAGTATGAGACATGTTTCGGAACCTATTGAGGTCCCTTCATCAGGCAAATAGCATAGTGACAACCATTGTGAACATTGACACAGCCTCTGCTCACACAGCCACATCATCCATTTACAGATCCTGTAGAAAAATGAACCCTTGCAGTGGGGATACCTTAACTTGGGGTTAACTGCTCGCTTTTCTCTAGGGGTGAAAATAAAGAAAATGTATTCACCTGATCCTCGGTCCCGTCTGTCTGCTAGAGTGGTCTCCGCAGCCTCTTCTTCCGCGGGCTCCAGGGGTCTAAGGGCGTCATTATGTCTAATACAGGTCTATTAGACAGGAGGATGCCAAGGGACATACCACAGCTGGAGTAAAGGGGAGAGAGGCAAGCGGACACTGCCACTGGACCGAGGATCAGGAGAGTATATCTTCTTTAATCCAAAATGAGTAGTTAACCCTTGCAGTGCGGGGTAGCCCCAGTTTGAGGCCTTGACAGCTGGCACGCGACCTCATTCTTTATCGCTTGTAATTGACAGCTTCCTTGAGCCGACTGTCAATTACATCCCTGGCCCACCCAGCTCCCTCACGTGACTGAGTGGCATAGGAACGCAGAGGCGAGGTAAGGAGGCCCTCAACACGGTCCGCCCAAGCTCCTGCTTGGAGGATCCCTCATGTGCCAGCCCGCCAGACAGAAGCAGGCTCATCCATGCCTGACGGGAGGATTACTGTACCCTGCTGGACAGGATGATTTTACCTAGGGTTGCCACCTGAGTGGGATTCACCCGGACAGTTCGGGTTTTGAATGCTGTGTCCGGGTTTCATGGCAGCAGAAAACCCGGACACAAGATGTCAGGCAGACAGGGGCAACCAAAATTAAGATAGGGGCTACTGGCCTCCCACTGAAAACAGTCTTAACTATGATATTTACATATTAATAGGTGGCGCTATTTACATATGAATAAGCCGCGACTCATTCTCCCAAAAACATTTCCGTGTGTCGTTGGAGTGTTTGGGTTTTGCTGGGAGAAAAGGTGGCAACCCTAATTTTACCGCACCCTGCCCGACAGGAGGATTTCAAAGCCTTTCTGCCCAAGAGGACAGAAAAATAAGAGGAGCCAGGCATGTACTGTATGTACCACATGTATACCGCTCACCTACACGAACGTTAGCCCTCGTAGCAGCACACACGCAGGCCCTCACAAATGCACAGCATTTGACAGCACAGCATGAACTTTAATTTTACAGTATTCCTGCCCTAGTATGTAGGACAGGAATACAATCAATGCTATTTGTGGCTGATAATACTGCTGTGCACTTGCATGGGTCTGCGTGTATGCCTCATGTGCCTTTGGTCCATGTAGGTAAGGAAGACTGCTTCTAAAATACTTTCTTTTTTTCAAGCACATTGGAAACGTATCAATCATACAGTGTTTGTGGCTGATATGCAGGCTAAAGTGTGTAAATTGGTGGTGGTCTAACATGCGTTAGTGCTGGTCTGAGGTCTGCCATGCATTGGTGCTGGTGTGAGGTTTGCAGGGCATTAGTACTGCTCTGAGGTTTGCAGGGCATTGGTGCTGGTCGGAGGTCTGCAGTCCATGGCTGCTGATGTTATGCATTGGTGCTGGTCTGTGATTTGCTGTGCATTGGTGCTAGTCCAAGGCTTGCAGTGCGTTGGTGGTGGTTCGAGGTCTGCAGTGTGTTGCTGCTGGTCTGAGGTTTGCCATGCATTGCTGCTGGTCTGAGGTTTGCCATGCATTGCTGCTGATCTGAGGTCTGTCATGCGTTGGTGCTGGTCTGAGGTGTGGAGGGCATTAGTCCTGCTTTGAGGTTTACGGGGCATTGGTGCTGGTCGGAGATCTACAGTGCATTGGTGCTGGTCTGAGGTTTGCAGGGCATTGTTGCTGGTCTGAGGTTTCCAGGGCATTGTTGCTGGTCTGAGGTTTGCAGGGCATTCGTGCTGGTCTGAGGTTTGCAGGACATTGGTGCTGGTCTGAGGTTTACAGGGCATTGTGCTGGTCTGAGGTTTACAGGGCATTGGTGCTGGTCTGAGGTCTGCAGTGCGTTGATGCTGGTCTGAGGTCTGCATTGTATTGCTGCTGGTCTGAGGGCTGCCATGCATTGGTGCTGGACTGAGGTCTGCAGTGCATTGGTGCTGGTCTATGGTCTGCAGTGCGTTGCTGCTGCTCTGAGGGCCACCATGCATTGGTGCTGGTCTAAGGTCAGCAGAAAGCAACATCCTACAGGCCAGACATAGCACAACTGAGCCATGAAATACAGGCACAGGGATAAAACTAAAACTGTAAGTCCAGTCAGTACATGTAAATATGAACATGTTTTGTGTGCACCAGTTATTCAATTGTTTCCCTTATAGTTGTGCTGCTAATGGGAAGGTAAACACATTCAAATAATTAGTGAGTTTAGCTTACTATTAGCAGTACAACTACGAGTGTACAAATTGAAATGTAACTAACACTACGGTGCGCTATTGTTCACTGGCACCCGGCTGTCTGATGGTTTCAAAAATGGCACTTGGTGTGTAAAAGGTTGCTGACCCCTGCACTATACAATCTGATTGCACATGTAGCCCCTATATAATATACATATATGTGCTATCACAGCGATTCTTGTTCCTAACTGTAAGGAGTTAACTTGGCCCTGTGTGTGAT